GTGATTCATGAATAGCTGGTTCTAGTACTCATACAGTATAGCTAGGAGTGATTTACATGCTGGAGGCTGGGTGTGAGCAGACCAGGAGTGGTTGCTCTCACAGGGAAGCCGTGTAAAAGGCACCCCAGTTTGGAGAACTGAGGTAACAGCAGTCCAGCTAGTACCCTGAGTAATGCCACAGTGGCTTATACCTTTCAATATTCCTTTTCATTCAGGTGTTGTATGTGTCACATAATTATTGGAGTTCAGTGATCATTTAGAAAGAAAACAAAATCCTTCATAGCTCCTGTACATTTGGTGAACATGGTCTGTACATTCTTTGATTATATCTAATGCCTTTCATTTCATATCCTTCTGGCCTTACAAAAGGAGCAAGATACATTCATTTGAATGAACATTGAAGGAACAAGACATTATACACATACATACAGGGCGATCTTATCTTGATAAGTTTATGAAGGGGATGGTATGAGGTGGCTGTCTACAACACTATATGGACCATCCATAACTTGCTATTACCAAATGTTTCCAATGACCAGAGATGGGACACTAAATGGGGATGTCTCTGGGTTACTACAGAGAATTCTTTCCCAGGTGTCTGCCTGGTGGGTCTTGCCCACATGCTCAGAGTCTAACTCATTATATTTAGAATCAGAAAGGAATTTCAACCTGAGTCTAATTGGCAGAGACTCTGGAGGTTTTTCACCTTCCTCTGCAGCATGGGGCCTGGGTCACCTGCAGGTTTAAACTCGTGTAAATGGTGGATTCTCTGTAACTTGAAGAATTTAAATCATGATTTGATGACTTCAGTAACTAGGCCAGAGGTTGGGGTCAATTACAGGAGTTGGCGGGGGAGGTTCTGTGGCTTGCAACGTGCAGGAGGTCAGACTAGATCAGGGGGTCTCAAACTGGTATTTGGAACCCCTCAGGGGGTTGTGAGATTATTACATGGGGGGGGGGGTCGCAAGCTGTCAGCCTCCACCCCAAACCCTGCTTTGCATTCAGCATTTATAATGTTAAATATATAAAAAAGTGTTTTTAATTCCTAAGGGGGGTCACACTCAAAGGCTTGCTATGTGAAAGGGGTCACCAGTATAAAAGTTTGAGAACTACTGGACTAGATGATCATGATGGTCCCTTCTCCTCCAAATGGAAAAGGCAGATGGAACTTTAGGACCACAGGATGGTAGCTAAGGAAGCAGGGCTAAGGTTTTGAAAGTATCCTATGGCAGATGTTTGCTGACTTTCAATTGGACTCATGCTCAAAGTCATTTAGGCATTGCTGAGGATTTACCAATATACTTTCAATGGTATTTATGCTCCTAAATAACTTGTGTGCTTTCAAAAATCCCACAATTGTATCTTTCAGTGTGATAGAAACCACAGCTGGGATTTTGAAAGGGTCTTAAAAAAACTGGGCATCTAACTCCGTTAGGCTCCTTTGAAAATTTCAAGCAGAACCTACCTACTATTTCTGCCTCTACTATTGTTTGTTGCTCATGTCTGCATTGTCAGATTTCTCTCACTCTTGTTCATGTTTAGTGGGAATTTACACCATGAGTAGCTTATTGTAACTGAAGGGACATAAAGAGTAAGTTGCTACTCATTGAGTATGGCAGTAAGTAGTAAGTATTTCTTGGGTGGAGACTCTTCTTAAATGCTCCTGGAGTACAGCATCAAACTCAGCCATCAGCTCCACAATTTTAAGGAAGTTTCCATTGTTTGGCACATACAGCTGATCTGAAGTGCCACGCAGTGCTAGGTTTTGGGTAGCAAGCATTCTCACAATGGCAATGAGCCTTCTCAGAACATTTTGCCAGTAGAGAGACTCTGATGCAATCTGTGGTGGCCTTTAACCTTCGTCTCATCTCAAGCTCTTTCCACCTATGGAATGCTGTGATGGGGTTGGGACTCACCACCATGGCACCTCCTGTTGGTAACTCTGGGAATTAGCTCAGTCCATGTGGAGTGCCTTCCGCTGGTGGCGTCCCGTCCATCTCTCGTGCTCTGCTGGCATCTGGACCCACATTGCTCCCTTCTCGCAGCATCCTCTTCAGGGTACTGCCCTCCATCAGTGCCCCCTAGTCCACTCTCACCCCCTTCTGGGGGAAGAGAGGGGGTTATCAGCAGTTCTTCCATTTTGCCCTGCCACCATGGCCAGCCACACCCACAAAGTCTAACCCCTTCTGGCAGGGGTCAGGTGCAGTCCACTATGGCCACTTCTAACGGCCGGGAGTAATACAAGGGGGAAGGGGGGGACCCAGGGCCTCCCTCTACTCTGGGTCCTGACCCAGGGACCCTCTGGCAGCAGCCTCCCTGCCCACCTCTCCTCCCTGGGCCGCTTCCCCTTCAGCCACTTTGCACCTCATGGGCCCTTCTATCAGGACCTGCAGCCTGGCATGTACAAGGCTGGAGTTCCCTTCTGCTCCCCTGAGCCTGCCCAGGGCTACGCTGTCCCAGGTGCTGGTTTCCTCACTCAGGAGACAGACCTTCCCCTTTGAAGGTCTGGGAGAGACTCTCTGCCTCTTGCCTGGGCAGCCTTTATATAGGACCTAGCCTGGCCCTGATTGGCTGCCTCTTTCTCTGTGCTGATTGGCTCCCCTCAGGCCCTCTCTGATTGGCTGCCTGTCTGTGCAGCCACTCTGGCCTACTGTAGCCTAATCTGGCCTGGGTGTGGGGCATCGCCCCACCACAAATGCTCTCTGGTGATTTGCTGCCTTCTCATGGCATGCCAGATTTCTAGCCAGATTTTTCTAGTCCTTTGTTCCTGTAGGTGGCTGAAGCATTAGACTGGAAGAGTTTGCAATAAAAACAGTATGCAGCATTCTGGGGTTTTGAGTATATAAGCCATGGCTTCTCCACTTTGCCACCATTAGGGATTTCACACCAGTAATGTGTTGGATGGAAACTTCTATTTTCATTGTCTTTTGGGAACATGAAGTTTTTCACTTGCTGTGGCCCATGCAGTACAGGGAAGTTTCTCGGGCTACTGCTCAAGTGGGTCCACAGTCCTGGATCATCTAGACTTAAGGAACTAAACTCAGCAGCAGCTGTTTCTTGGGCCTCCACCACACTCTTCTCTGATCTACACTTTTCTTCAGGAATGTGCATGGTTACATCCATTTGAGATGGAGATATGGATGCTGCAGTAGCTGCCAGGTCACCTGCACTCTCACTAATTGGAAGATCAGGCATCTCCTCACCACTCACATCCTCACTGGGGCCGGAAGGCTCACCACGAACATTTGTGTCTGTGTATCTCAGGAGAGCTCCTTCCTGCTTAGATAGAGAAGCTTCCTTTGCTTGCTTGCTTTTTCTGAACGCTGCCCCAGAGGGGCGTTTTCTTCTTTCACTCATGACTGCTGTTCTGTGCCAGCGATAGTGGCTCTCAACACTCAGTTGAAGGGGACAAATAAGCAGGCTGGTAGCAGGGCCTGAGGGAGGGAAGATATCAGCGTCTTAAGGGTCTAACTGGCTCCTACTCCTTCATTTGACGGCCTGTTCTCCTCAAGGGGGTTCATGGCAGCAGCAGGAAACAGGCAGCTCCCTGAGAAGCTGGTGTTAATCAGTCCCGGCTCCTGGGGGTGCTAGAGAGGTACATGAGAGGCTCCTACTCCTCTCTCTCCCTGCAGCTCCTGCTGCTTTCTGTGATTCCCTCTCACCTTTTCTCCTGTCTGCCTGTTATGTCTCTTGTGCCCTCCTTCCTCCAGCACAGCTCTCCACCATCTCTGTGCATCTAGAGCAGAGAGAATACATACGCACCAGCAGCAGACACAATTTTCTACACTCTGGGTTCTAGTGGCACCCCCCCGCCCCCTGTCTGGCACCTGAGGCAGCCGCCTCAGTTCGCCTCATTGCAAGGCCAGCTCTGTTCAGGAGGATAAATAAGTTATAGATTGTGAGATAGACAGATGGACATGTAATCCATAAGCCTTGTGCCAGTCCTCCGCACTGTACTGAAAGGTGTACACAGCCCTTGTGCACCATTACTATAAGGTCTATTGATTCGTACATCATGCTACCAAGAACAAAGACAGGGTTCATTTGAAATCCTATACAAAATCTTTCATCCTCATAAACCCATCTGACATTGAGACTACCAGCCTTCATTTCTGCTCTGTAGATGTGTGATGTCATCAGCAGAGATTGAACCCCGGATTTATGGCTATTAGCCAGGATGGGCAGGGACGGTGTCCCCAGCCTCTGTTTGCCAGAAGCTGGGAATGAGCAGTAGGGAATGGATCACTCGATGATTACCTGTTCATTTCCTCTGGGGCACCTGGCATTGGCTACCTTTGGTCTGACCCAGTGTGGCCATTCTTATGTTCTTACGGAATTGAAAACATTATCCTCTCTTGACTGAGCCAGAAGAATGGTCACATGAGTTGAGAGGTAGACTCATAAATGTAATTCAGCCACTAGAGGGGGATAAAGAGCTGCATAATGTTGGTGTGGTCTACAGCTGTCTTTTCTAACCATCATTTTATGTGGGGAGACAGTTAGCTGGGAAATCAGAAGAATGAACAGTGTTTGTGTCAATGATTGCACAGTCAATAATCAGGCTTAATCCCCACAAATAGTACCTTTGATGCTTAAAAGCATTTTACAAACATTATCTATTTAAATCATCCAATTGCAACACCACTGTAAGGTCTAGTTGCAAACCTAAAATATACAGCAGGAAGGAAGTGTGCCTTTATTTCTGAAGCCCAGTTGCATGCACTGAAATTAACCAGGCAGAGTAGACAATCCTCTGATAAAGAAATGAAATTATAAGACTTCAGAATTATAGGTAAGTGTATTTTCCCCTATTTTACAGCTGGGAAAATTTAGTGACAAAGAAGGAAAGTGACTTGAGCAAAGCTACAAAACAAGTGGTTGTATTTAATGGCTTTTATATCACATGTCTGAAACATTTGAGATAGTTTATAACAGTAATTTTTCTTTCTTTCTTTCTTTCTTTCTTTCTTTCTTTCTTTCTTTCTTTCTTTCTTTTTCTTTCTTTCTTTTCTTCTGTAACATAGTTTCAACTGGTTCCAAAACTTTCAGCCATTTAGGAAATCAACATTTGACCAGTTAGAAAGTCCTTCATGAAAACATGCACCTTGCATCTTTTTCTAAGGTTCGTTCTGAGTTCCATTTCCACAGGAAAGCAAACACCAGAGCTCCAGGCTTGCGAAGGAATCAGTCAAGGTTTGTCCCATCGTGACCTATTTCCCAGGGTATGGAAGCATGTTCTTGATTGCCATCTTGACATCTTTATTCCTTAGGGTGTAGACTATAGGATTGAGAGTTGGCGTCACCAGGGTATACAAGGTGGCTATCATCTTGTCCCTGTCAAAGGAGTAGCTAGAGGCTGGCCGAATGTAGGTGTAGATGACAGTGGAGTAATAAAGAGACACCACAATGAGGTGGGAGGAGCAGGTGGAGAAGGCTTTTCTCTTCCCTTCAACCGTTTTGATCCTCAAGATGGCCCTGACAATGAAGTAATAAGAGACACATGTCAACAGGAAGTCCCCCATAGCTAGGAAAATGTCCGCCATGAAGACCATGACCTCATTTAAATGCACTGAGGTGCAGGAGAGAGCCAGCAGTGATGGGATTTCACAGAAAAAGTGGTTGATAACGTTGGGCCCGCAGAAGCTCAGCCGCAACACGAGGCCAGTGTGCACCCATGAATTGACCACAGCAATGACTATCACTAGGGCAGACAGGCCCACACTTACGGTCTTGTTCATCATGATGCTGTAACGCAAAGGGTGGCAAATGGCCGCATAGCGATCGTAAGCCATGACGGTGAAGAGTACCATCTCAGCCCCCAGAGACCATGTGAAGAAGTAGAGCTGGGCCATGCACCTAGGGTAAGAGATAGATTTACTGACAACCACGAGATTCCCCAGCATCCTGGGGATGATGGTGGAGGTGCAGATGATGTCCACCACAGCCAAGTGGAGGAGGAAAAAGTACATGGGCCTGTGGAGCTTGGAACTGGAAAGGATGGCAGCAATGATTACTAAGTTGCCCAGCAGGGCAATGATGTAGATGGAGAGGAATAGGATGAAGAGTGGAACCTGGAGTTGGGGTTTACTGGAGAGTCCCAGAATGATGAATGTGGTCACGATGCTTTGGTTCTTCATTCCTGGCGCTCCAGAGATTGTTGCGGATGAAGGCAAAAGCTTCTAAAACGTCTCTAGGACTTGCACTGGACAACTCAGGCTGAGATATTCAAAGGTTCCTATGGGGTTTAGATGCCCAATTTTCATCTAAATCCCTAGATGCAGAGTTGGGTGGAAAACAGAATTTCCATTCCATGGGAAATACCAATATTTTGGCATTTGTTTTCATCCTGAATTGGGATAAAAAATTGAAATATCATTTTTCTTTATTTATTTTGTGAAAAGTTCTGAAAATTGTCAATTTTAACCTCTCTCTGTATATGCCTGAAAAAAACTATTGACATATCAAATTTTATTCTGAATCAACCTTTTTTTCCCTCCAAAGGATATTAAGATGACACACAAACTAAAATTTTTGTTCATAAATCAGCATGGTGATTCAAAATTTTGATTTTGAATCAACATTCCAAAACAAAAGTTTAACTTTGTTTCAAAATTTTGATTCTAAATTAAATTTAATATTTCATGGAAAATTTCTTGAAAATCCAATCAAAATTTTCAATTTTAACTAGGGCTGTCAATTAATCAGTTAAATCATGTGATTAACTCAAAAACAAATTAACTTGATTAAAAATTAATCTTGATTAATTGCAGTTTTAATTGCACTGTTAAACAATAATAGAATACCAATTTAAATTTAATACAAATATTTTTTATATTTTACTACATTTTCAGATATATTGATTTCAATTACAACACATAATTCAAAGTATACAGTGCTCACTTTATATTATTTTTATTACAAATATCTGCACTATAAAAAAGAACCAAAAAATAGTATTTTTTAATTCTCCTCATACAAGTACTGTAGTGCAATCTCTTTATCGTGAAAGTGCAACTTACAAATGTAGATTTTTTTTTATTGCACTCAAAACCAAAACAATGTAAAACTTTAGAGCCTTCAAGTCCACTCAGCCCTACTTCTTGTTCAGCCAATTATGAAGACAAACAAGTTTATTCACATTTACAGGTGATAATGCTGCCTGCTTCTTATTTACAATGTCATCTGAAAGTGAGAACAGGCATTCCCATGGCACTTTTGTAGCTGGCATTGCAAGGTATTTAAGTGCCAGATATGCAAAACATTCATATGCCCCTTCATGATTTGACCACCATTCCAGAGGACATGCTTCCATGCTGATGATGCTCGTTAAAAAAAAATAATGCATTAATTAATTTTGTGACTGAACTCCTTGGGGGAGAATTGTATGTCTCCTGCTCCATGGTTTTACCTGCATTCTGCCACCTGTTTTTTGTTATGGCAATCTCGATTTCAGAACACTTTCATTGCAGATTTAACAAAATGCAAAGAAGATACCAATGTGAGATTTCTAAAGATAGCTACAGCTCTCAACCCAAGGTTTAAGAATCTCAAGTGCCTTCCAAAATCTGGAGAGGGACAAGGTATGGAACATGCTGTAAGAACATGCAACACTCCAATTTGGAAACTACAGAACCCAAACCACCAAAAATAAAATCAATCTTCTGCTCATGGTATCTGATTCAGATGATTAAAATGAATGTTCATCAGTCCGCACTGCTTTGGATCATTATTGAGCAGAACCTGTCATCAGCAATATATACATTGACATATTTTTTGTTCCTCAGGTTTTGGAAAAAAACACAATTTTTATTGATTTTTTGTGTGAAGAAAAATAAATTATTGAATTTTTGGGGTATTGGGTTTTTTCCCCCCACCCTCCCCCATTTTCCATAGAAAAAATGGAGATCAAAATTGTTCTCTTTGTCAAATCAAAACAAAAGCAAAAGATCCCCCCAAACATTTGCTTTTTCCAAATAAAAAGTGTCAAACTCCAGTACCTTAATTGTTGGTCAGCGGGATCCAAACTCTTGACTTTTTCAGTCAGCGCCAGTTACCCTCTGAACTAACAGGATGGCTCCTTCAACTGCTACTTGTAGCAGACTCATCTCTTGGAGGCCAGCCACTGTAGGAGAACTCATAACACACAATGAACAGTGGGCTGCATAATCCCTTAAAGGGTTTTTAAAGTGTGGTTCTGTTCTGGAAAATGATTTGTTAATAATGCCAGTCATTATAATAAAAAGCTAGGGGACAGATCCCCAATTCATGTAAATTAGAATATCTCCATTAAAATAATTGAAGCTACTGTATTTTACACAACATGAGGATCTGAGCCAAAAAAAATTCAACCATAGCAAATCAAACGGGATATTTTCCACTCCTGTCCTTCAAAAATCTAAAGGTTAGTGCTGTTTGTATTTCCCTCTTCATACATGCATCGTACATGGGGCACATGTAAAACGTTCTAGCAGACTTCTTCATTCTAAGCACATAGAATATCTGTGGAAACTATAATATCTCTAAACTGGAATCAATATTGTGTGTCTGTCCATTTTACCACATGCACTGCAATGAAGGCAATTTGATTTCATTTCAGATTTCAGACATTTGGAGCTTCATGAATTCAATGTTACATCTACATTGAAACTCACCAACAGGGAAAATATGATTTTCAAATGTAAAGCAGAAATATTCTTCTACATAGCAGTCTGGCTGTCTCAGTACAGTACCTGGCAAAGCAGATCTCAGTCAATTTCTGAGTGGAATCAAAATAAGAAAAAAGGAGGCAGTTTGAATTAATTTAGTACTATATAATGGGGCGAAATGTGTTCTAATGGCAAAATAATGGCAAAATTTGAGTAGCACATTTGGCTCAATTCCTTGCTTATCAACGGATTAAGTAGCTGAGACATTTGGCAATCATGTAAATTCTCACATACCAGTTCTGGTTGCTGCTCCTCTTCTCCAATGTCAAGTGTGTTGTTAGAGGAAGATTCTATGTAGTAATCCTGTGAAATTATGGATTAGATTAATAATAATAATTATTAATAGGAGTAATTCCAGTTTTAGCACAGTCTGCACATCTCTAATGTATTCCTTATGCCAATCATAGTTCATCTACAGAGTGCATAAGAGTGGTTAGGCTAAGATGAGTTTTCAGCCTAATATACAGATCGCCATGGGGATATGTTTCCCATAATTACTCCAATGCAGGCCCTTTAGGAAAAACAAATACATATATAAATAAATGTCTCTTTTGATTGGGTGATAGTAAAAAGATGATCCAATGTTATTTAAATGTTCAGCATGTATTTTGGTTGGTGATATCATTCTTTAAAATTATATCTGTTAATAATCATTAGCATTTAGAGAGGGCTTTTCATCCATAGATCTCCAACAGCCTTGTTAAGGATGATCAGTGTCATTAAGCCAATTTTATTGATAGGGAAACTAATGCACACAGAGACTTGAAAGGCCAGTGAAGGAATGAGACCTAGAACAAGATCTGATGATTCTTAGGTCAGGGGTTAGTGCCCTATTCACTGGACCACACTGCCTTCCACTGTTAGGCCAAAATCTCAATTTTTTGAAATCACCCACTAATGTTAGGTGTCTATATTTAGAGTGAAGAACTGACAAACTCATAGGGCTGGATTGTTCCCAGATCCACAAACCCTACTGCTCTCACTGATTTCAAGTTGTACTTAGCTCTGCTGAAACACAGGCTAGGTAGCTCAAGACAGTTACTGAAAAAACGTACCATGCTAAATTGAAACCTGATTCTGTGTGATGCTGCGTGCCATGCTGTACACTCAGCAAAATATTGCTCTAGACTTGTTTGTGTCTCAGTGATTCTGTCCATAAAGTGGACAAGATAACAGGGTACACCTTCTTTTCTAAAGTCTCTAGAGATCTGGGGAAGAAGGATGTTTCAATGTCCTCAGGAATGGTGTTAAAACAGTGTGGATGGCAGATTTAGGTTCTGCAGAGTGTAGGTTATCATGACAATTATTAATTAGAATCATCAATATCTTGCCCTTTTGGTTAAAGGAAACTCTCCCAAAGAAGCCCTGTGAATGCTGTCTGAATAAATCTGTAGACAGTTTAGAACAGACAGTGAGCTGCCCCTTTCTTCTCAATTATGTGTTCACTCTGAAACTTAATGTTGTTGGTTTAAATACCAGTGAGGCTGATGATTTAACCATGAATCACTTTTAGTAAGAAAAGCAATCTCTTTCAGGACCAGGGTTTGGGGACATAGCTTCAGTATTTCTCCTCCACACCATCATTATGACCTCTGCCATCCAGTGTAATTTTGGGGAATATTGGCAGAGGATGGGTTTATATGCTGTATTACTTTAAAGTAAAAGTTAGAAGACTGTAAAGGTTGCAAAGTCAAAAACCCCAAAGTTAAGAAATGCCAGGTTTAAGCTTGACTGTGCAACCTGAATTTTTTAAAGTTATTACTTCTTCACACAGTGCAAAGTCCCAATCTGTGGGACTTACTGCCAGGGGATGTTGTGAAGGCCAAATGTGTAAATGGGTTAAAAAAACAACTAGATAAGTTCATGGAGGATTGGTCCATCAATGGCTATTAGTCAAGATGGTCAGGGATGTAACCCCATGCTCTGGGTGTCCCTAAACCTCTGACTGCTGGAAGCTGGAACTGGATGACAGGAGATGGATCACTCAATAATTGCCCTATTTTGTTCGTTCCCTCTGAAGCATCTCTCCACTGTCAGAAGACAGGGTACTGGCTAAATGGACCATTGGTCTGACCCAGTATGGCCATTCTTATGTTTTTATATTCTTAAGTTTTCCCTTTGAGCATACTTATTAGGATACTATTTTATGACCTGGCCAAAGACTTTTTTCCCACAAGACCCCTGCCTCAGTCAATGCACAGGACAAGGACACAGGAAACTTTGTCGAAGTGGTGGGGCACTGGTGCCAGAACTGGGGGATCCAGGAGGCCATGCCCCACACTTTTTAACATGGGCGTAGTTCGGGCGGCTGAGGGCGGTGCTGTCCCCCAAACTGCAAGCCTGATGCAGGTCCCTGCCTGCGTTGCTCCATGCTTGCCTGAGGCTTGCAGTGTGTGTGTGTGTGTTGGGGGGCAATGGCACCCCCTGCTGCCCAAACCATGCCCATGTTAAAAAGGGGGGGCATGGTCTCCTGTCCCCCCCCACCCCCCCGGTTGTGACACCTTTGGCACATGATAGATGGTGCTCATGAATGTTCAGCTATTCAATATTTCTTTTTAACTGCCTCCTTCAATGTGCTGTCCCAGGCATTCTTAATTATTCAACTGGGCAATCAGCTTTTACATGGTGTTCTCATCACTGATATATTAGGGCTCAACTCACCTAGGAACTTATGTGTGGTAAACCTGAACTGGGATTCACGAAGCTTGAGCTAGGCGCTCAGGCTCCCCATACAATGAATGAGAGAGATAGGTGCCTAAGAACCAGATTCACAAAAGCCAGCTCTGGTGCTCTGAGGTTCAACCCAGACTAGTAAGGGTCAGTATCACTACCTGCCCTGCAACTCTGCATGCCTTCAGTGCTATGCTGCTGCGGCTCACAGTTCGGACACCAGCAGGTGACAGACAAGCATGCATGTCTCACCCTGGCTTCCGCCACCCCGTTGCTTTTCACAGAATGAACCTAACTCTCTCCCAGTTCCAAATTTCCCCAAAACCACACACAAAGTGTGACATCCAGCTGGCTTTCCCCAAACGGTGAGTCACGTGTTACCCCTCTCAGCCTCAGCAAGTAAGCTGCTGCTAAGCTGTGTGACAGCAACCTCTCCAGGACTCTGCCAGTCCAAACTTTGCCCAGCAGGTAACAATCAGTGAACCCCAGCTCCTGAGTTCCTCAGAGATGTCTCTCTGCTGTGTCCAGACCTCCCACAGAACATTCCCAGAGGTTACTAAATTAATTTCTCCTTTAAAGAGACAATACACTGCAACTTGTTGGCATAACTGGGGTTATCATGCTGAACTGCTTTATAGGAAAAGTAAAACAAATTTATTTAACAAATCGACATTGTATTAAGTGATACCAAAGATAAGGAATAAAGATAGAAAGGGTTACAAGCAAACAAAAGCAAAACTATGCTTCTAAAGGCTAACACGTGAATTAACAACTTAGATTTTCTTGTTCAAAGAAGTGTTCCTTTCCAAGTCACTTTTCCAGTATGTCTGACCAGACGCTCTGGCCTGGACCTTCACAGAGCTCAAAGTTCTCATTTCCTTTGTTCCTCCAGCTGGAGGATGACTAAATAGCTTTTTCCTCTCTACTTACATCTTTCCAAATTTCATTGACCCCACCTCAAGAGGCAGGAAGGCTTCCTGGGCCTGCAATTGCCATTTCCAGTTGAGACTGTTAAGTAGCCGCCTTTCCCCACTCACTTTCCTGATGGCTTTGTTTACCTTCCATATGAATGAGCTCCTCTTTGTCTTTGGTCACAGCTTTCTTAATTGACATTGGAGACAGGTAGACAGCTGCCTTCCCTCCAGTTTGGGAGAAACCTGTCTTTCTCCCTTTGTTTGGTCACAGACTTCAAAACATAATATCAGCGAGTAGCCATAGTTCCTCACATTCTGTTCACACAGACATTTCACAATGATATTAACCACCAGTGTGTCATTAGCCTTCCAGTAATATATTACATGACACCTCTTCGATACAGGTTATGACAACAATGTGGTAGGTGCAGTGAGTTTGTCAGGTCTGACAAGAGTGACTGACTGAGGATAATGAGCCACCAATGGGCCTCTCGGTCACTCCAGCAAGGTAGGTGGCTCCCTGCCTAAGCTACTTAATGGGAGATGGCAAGGAGACGGATGTATCCTAAGCCCCCACCCCCTCCCAGAAGAGAGAAGAACAGCTTCCTCATACACCTTTTACCCCAGTGGTTAGGATGGTCACTTGGGGTATGGGAGACCCCTGACTAAAGGTGAACTTGAACAATTGGATGAGTGCCCCAGCCTCACAGCTGGGTGCCCCAACCTCTGGGCTAGAGGAGATCCTGCTGTCAGAGCCCATCAGTCACTCCACTTTGGATTCAATAATTAAAGAGTCACTGGGCCGCAGTGGAGAGGAAGCACCAGCACGAGAATGACTCTATAGCTTGGTGGTTAATGCCTGGACATGGCATGTGGGAGACCCACAATCCCGTCCTCACAGT